ATCTTTAATTCTATTACATCATCATCATCGGGCAATTCACTACTGGGCTTCCTCCATTGCGCGTTAGATAAACTGAGATTACACCTCGCGAACTGTACCCAATTTGATAAGGGCTGTTAATCATTAACAACAAGAGCCTAAAATAATATGTACATGTATACAAACTAAATGTACGCTACTGTTACCATGTACTTATTGGATTTGCTTTGCTTACTTTACCATATTTTTTTGTTTGTCATCAAATCATAAAATAGAATTCAAGGTGAATTTTCTTACACCTCTTATATTTCGATTGATCTCAAAGCTTACATATTTAAATCGGATGAAAGTGCAAGATAAAAGAGCAGTTCAATCAAATATTATTGTTTACTTAATTTATTTTGTAGTTGTATTCGCCAACTTAGTTCCTTTTAAATACAGTCCATAATCTCCATGGCTGTACAAAGGTAGATTCGATAACACCAGTGCGGTTCGGCACTGCGAATCGACGCAGCTGGCCGGTCGATCGTTATTTGGCTGGTGTATTAATATACAGTAGGTACACGTCCAGTATTTGCTGTCGTCAGTTTTGGAAAAGGTGCTGTGCATATAAGCTATAATCCGTTGGTATCGATCAATTGATACGCACTTTGCGGCATGCGGAGGAAACACTTACTACAAACACCATTTTAAAATGCGAATGAGAATGTGTGAATTTTGCTAAACAATAATCTGAAATGAGGTCTAGCACCAGGCATTGCGACTAGGACTGAGGAATCATAAGAACAACAAAGCGATGCTCCCCATGGAGTTTTTATGGAAATCTATTTCTGTCAGTAATCACGTTTAAGGTCACTTGTAGGTAATCCTTTTCATAGCCAACCGACCAAATTGCTATCGATTTCAAAGCAATCATTATTCTAATTTTAGAAAAACCGACGAAGTCCGAAAAGTTTCTCAGTACTGAGGTCTTGGTTATGTAGTTCTGTAATATCTTAAATGAGAAACATATTTTATGAACGTAATTAAATTACTCAGAATACAGAACAAACCAGAAGGAGTGTTCGATAACATTTCTACGCGGCAACTTGTGTCCAAAATACTTCCCCTCCCGCGCCCCTCTACCCCCTTTAGTGTTACTAGCGCCGTGTGACACCCCCATTTTTGGGGTAAAATTATGTAATTTTTTAAAGAGATGTTAAACAAGTAAAAAATAAGTAAGTGAAATAAGTACACACGGCCAGTGTTAACTATCCATTTCCGTTTTTGCTCTCGCTCTTATCAAATGGTGATTCTTTGCGATAGAACGAGACGACATGACTGGCCATAGGCATAGATAGTACCTACCTACCTATGAATTTAATTTTTACTCCGAAGTAACTAAGTGTAAGATGATTATTTATTTCTATTAAATAGTGTAATATATGTACTATATTTTATGTAGGTATAATATGTTATTTAAAAGTCAATTACAAAAGTCGAATATAAATTTTAGAATGCCAAGTAAAACAAAAAAGAAACTTAAGGTTCTTTATTATGTAAACATATCGACAACAAAACATTTGTTTACGGCGCAGTAGTGCTTTTAGTTTAACTTTTCTTGGAGTCAAAAACAGAATCCAAATCAAAAACATCACCAATACTTAAATTTGATTGCGAGGCAACTCTGGCTGTGTATCCTGAAAAAAAATCAGAGTAAGTATGTAAGCAATAATTAATTACTTAAAATTATTATTAAATATACAAATATTGCTGCTGCTGATCTGTTGATACCAATGCCTTACTTTTGAATAAATGGGAAAGTATGAAATTCACGATAGTAATTTATTATCTCCTCATTATTAGGGAGTAATATTATAAATTAATTCAATATATTGAAATCAAATCAAAATCAAAAATATTTATTCAGTTTAGACCACAAGTGGCACTTATAATTTAATTAATCAGGTTGTCATGTCATGGATGAAATTACACTAAAAACTAATTAAAACAAAAAGGATGGGGAAAATATTCCATTATTCTGTGGTAACGCTAACAAAATTAACGCGTGAATTTTTTATAAGTAGACAAATGTAATTCAATATAAAAAAGTAGGGTAAAATATTCCGTTGACCTGTGGCAACACTTACAAAATACAACCGTGATTTTTTTTGAAAATTATTATTTAATTAAAATGAATTGGAAATGTGCTACTTACGGATAAAACATGATCCCATGCACTTTCTTCGTAATTCCAGTAGCATTCTTACATGTTGGAACGGCACAAGACGGCATAATTTAATTATAAAGTGTCAATCTGACGGATATGTAAACAATGCGCGCGCCGGCCATTGACTGATTGCTCTAAAGTCAAAGTAGTGCGATTTGGAGTACTTTATATGAATACACATTTACGCCCGTTGACGGTTTCTGGTTTGTTCCGTATTCTGAGTTAAATTAGTATTTTTCAGTGGATTTTTTTTGGTTCTTATTACCGATTGATTTCCGAATATAGGTTGTTAAAAATTATTCAATTCACAAAAAGGTTATGTAGACATTAAAAATAGGAAATTTTCTTTAGTTCTAGTTTCTCTGAGCATGTTTTTTCATAAAATTAATCCGAAAGGAAACATTTAAGAAAAACATCTACTAGGCAGTATTTTTCTAATATGGCGGCGCGAGCGGCAACCATACGAGGTCGCAAAGTTGAAATTCGTAAAGAGCACATCGAAATCTATATAAATACCAACTTTCATTACTCCCGGAAAACTTTCCAGGTAAAACTACCAAATGACTGGACTACAATCTCCACAAGAGGCAATAGAGAGCTGTTATCCTCTACAAAGTGATACTTAGAAATCCACCACAAAACCTCTTAAAAATAATAATTCCATCAAATCAAATAATTTCTGAGAAATTCCCTCACAGTCGGACAGACACGTGATCCAAAAGGATTCCGTTCTGTTTTGAAGTTTTACGGTGCCCTAAAAATGATCAAGAATTAAATGTCTGTCTAACATTATTGGAATACTTACGCACTCGTAAATAAGTGAACAGTGTCGGGTTTTCTATTGATTGCCGTCTTTGCCATTTCTTTGAAGATTATGTGGAGACCAAATATTTAAATATTCTATCTGGCTTACTTTGAAACCTATTTTAGTAGACAGCAGCTAACAAGAATTTGCTTAATGCTGTTTGCTTGAAAATTTGAATTTAAATTAAAAACAACGAAACTAGAATGGGTCACATTAGATAAACCTTTGTAATATTCATATGCACGGTCATGTAGAAAGATCTAGGATTTTCTTTATTAATTGCGATTTGCGACAGATCGGATACATATCGATACCGATACTGGTGGGCTTAGCAATTTGAAAGTAAATACATACATACATGTTAAACGTATAGAACGTTGGCGAGATCAAAGTAGTACATCTGAGTCATAAAATGATACATTTGCTTTTCATTTAATTGAAACATTTTAAATGTTAAATTAGTGTTAATAAATCTGTCGGAACTCTGATACTTAGCAAAGTGAATTCTAAAGTTGCATCATTGGGAAACTTCGCTGAAGACAACGTTAAACTGACGACAAAGGCCAGAGTATTGATTTCAACATCGCTTATTTTGCTACTCGGTCTAGTTTGCGACCGAAAATAGGCGTTCGCCTGTCTACCTAGTCACAGATTTAGCTCATTATACTAAATATCGTTGTTTTAAGTGATGCTGAAAAAACAAGCTCTTAGTTTCATGCAATTATGTGAACAGATTGCTTAAAACCCTCTCTAAAAAGATTATTATAATGATGTTACCAAGGTCACCGAGATTCCTTGCAGGTTTATAAAAGCGATGCATAATTAAGTAGTAGTCATTTGTATCAACTTAAGAATTCATACCAGCTTACAAGCTTGGTAATGGTACAGTATGATGGAAGTTCATATAGTTGCGATATAAATAATTGTTAAAATGATACAAACTGAATAAAACCAACGCTTTCGGCCCATTGCGGAAAGTTATACGAAATATAGATGTCTACCATTTGCCTGCTATCATTAACAGGAAGTTCACGCTTCATGAAAATACGCACGTTCGTTACTAATGAATAATTTAACTCTTTATGAACTTTTATTTTAGCCTTCAATAGTTCATCCATCATAGGACATTTTGATAAACTGACCTCACAGCGAAGCTTTTGTTATTCAGAGACCATAATATTATGTGTAACTGATGGAACTCGAAGTTTGCGGCGACTCTTATTGCAATTTGTATAGCATATTTCCCGAAGGTTGCCTATTTGTCGGAAATCATCTTTAGTGTCAATTTTTAAATGTTCATCTCAATAAGAAAGTTATTTGTTCGTGCCATCTCTAATAACAAATTGTAGTAGATGAAACCATAAAGATAACTTTATTGAAACGTAAGTTCCAATTAAGACACTCGTTTCTCGCGAATCTTGTCGTCAACAATAAAAACATTGTGTCGTATGCACGTGCCAACATCTCACTGAGCTGTTGAAGTGTTGGCTGATTGACTCGACAAGAGTGGTTGGGTATACTCAGATATAAGTCCATGTGTATGCCTGGCTCCCAGCATTTGAAATTGATCCTTGTCGTGGTCACTATACGAATACAAAGAGACTGAGTTGACACACCAATGCCAAGTCCATTGGGTCTATTAGAAAATTGCAATTCAAATCGACACTTGAACTGCCCGGAAAAGATATTAAAAAGCATTTTCGTAATTGTTACAAGAGGGCTGGTAGTAGGTGCTGCAACGTGATGAGTTAACGAGTTGTGCCTAACTCTGGCACTGAAAGTTATTTGCATCAAGTGCAATTTGTGATCGGTATAAATTGTAAATGCGTTGGGCCTAGGAAGCATTTGTGCATCGATCGCACCATAGAGTCGGTGTGATCGGGGGAGTTCGGCTATGTCCGATAGATTGATAGTTAGCAGCATGTTCAGGATATACTGGCGTGAGCATTTTTGCGATTGTACGTTTAGTTTCTTAAGGGTCATATACCACGTTCGGGTTGTTTGCAGCGCCTCTGCCCCCGGAGCTGTTGGACATCCCGGAAGACTTCCTCGAGCATTCCGCGAGCGACGGCACAATAGAAGAGAATTTTGAGGAGGAGCTTGCCAGGGCCCCAGAAGTTTATGCAGAGGTAAGTTTATTAATAATAACTTTACTACATTAATATGATTTTCTTGTATTTAGATGTATGCTTATGTTATCAAGATAATGCAGATTGCGGATGCTAGTGAAACATGATTTATGAATAGCATTTTATTTAAATTGCACTCCATCGATTAAAATTTACTCAAGCTTGGCTATGCTGTAAGACACAATGAGTACATGTTGTGTAAGGTGACATTAAGAAGGACTTTTACAAAAATACATGGAATATGGTCGGTCTCAGAAATCCTTGCCGATTCCGAGAAATTTAGGGACTTTGTAATTTAAGATAAGTTTTAAGATAAAATTATTCGACCATATTACGAGTAAATATGTTTCTACTAAAAACCGCTCCAACACAATAAAATATATTGTGTTGGAGCGGTTTTTAGTAGAAACATATTTACTCGTAATATGGACGAATAATTTTATCTTAAAACTTTTCGCGGAATAAAATGCTCATGACAAAAATATGCGAGCAAAAGAAAGTCTTTTGAATACTGTTGAATTTTACTCAAAGTGACTGCTAAAAGTACCTACTATAAAAGCGCTCATAAGAATTTGGTATCTTTTGTTGTATTTTATCTAAAGATTTTCGGATGCGTATTCGATTGATCGGTTAAATGGCGATCGTGAAAGGCTGTAAAAGATATGCCGTGTGGCTCCAGCTGAGTAGATTACGACCACCCCCAGTCCTCCCGTGGAGGGCGTAATAAGTTACTAAGGGAACATCGGGTCTCCCAACTCAAGGGAGGTATAGGCCAATTCGGCCTTTTCGTCATAATCATCATTTCAGCCACAGTACGTCCACTGCTGAACATAGGCCTCCCCCAATGATAGCGGTCTGCTTCCAGCGCCTTCCTGCTACCTTTAATAGGTCGCCTGTTCACCATCTGGGTCTGGACCTCCACTCCCGAACTTTGCAGCCTCATCGGTCGTCAGTTCTACATACTATGTGCCTTGTCCAATGACACTTAAGCTTTGTAATTCGTCGGTCTATGTCAGCGACTTTAGTTCGTGTACGGTTCTCCTTATTTCTGATTCGATCTCATAAAGGAACACCGAGCATATACCTCTCCATAACACGCTGTGCAACTTTGAAATTCTAACCTTTTGCCCCTGGTAAATTAAAGACACGAGTGGAGACGAAAATAAGAGAGTGTCTTGCTCCTGTAGTACTGCAGTGGAGAGAAAATGACCTGATGTCATGTATCTGTACATCATAGATATCGGGTTCCTCTTTGGACGACGAGTGCTTCGCCGAGCTCAATGGCACGGGGCTGATCGACGTGGTCGGCGACGACGACATCGGGCGGCGGATCATCGTGGTCTCCGCCTGCAGGCTGCCGCAAAGCAAGGACCCCGATATACTTCTGAAGTTCGTAACATTTTCAACTCTATCGACGAATCCATACAAACTACATGCTTCGATAAATTTTATTGTAATTTTAAGAATAAGCGACTATTAAAAACAATAATCCTTTACAATAAAAAATAAATATTATTTCACTCACATAAGCAAAAATTGAATTTCTTTCATGTTATAGTTTAGAAATAGAAATTACGGTGTGTCTGGAAATTTTCCTCCGTTAACTTATATTGAGGCACACATTAGTCGCACTAACACTTATACAACTATTGGGTACTATTTGTATCGTTTGATCTTGCTATACCCTTAACCTTTGTTGTATAATTTAATCCAGTAATATATTCATTCATGCCGATGGTCTAATGTATTTCTTTAGGCAAATCTTTTCACTTGGTTGAAAGGCGGAGTTGTAGATACTCAAACGCCTACACAGTGATATCGCAGTGCTTTTTCTTGTCTATTGTCACGGTCATCGTTTGTAAATTCGTCGTACCATCATTCCATTTCCGGATATTTCATATAATATTCGCGTTGAGACCCGTGTTTCTCTATTTTAACAGATATTTCATGTTCACGCTTGACAAGTACGTGGAGCAGGACTACAGCGTTGTGTATTTCCACTGCGGTCTGACTAGCAAGAACAAGCCTCCGCTGTCGTGGCTATGGAGGGCATACAAGGCCTTCGACAGGAAGTACAAGAAGAACCTGAAAGCGTTATACTTGGTGCATCCGACCAACTTCATCAGGTGAGCTTTTAGCCTACGCGCAGACCACCGACTTTTAGTAGTTGAGTCGGGCTGTTGATCAATCGGTATGGAGATGTATGAAAGTGCGCACATTACACCGATTTGGTATCGGCCGATGCTTCATACAAATTAGAATCGGGCCCAACTATCGGCCAACTAAAAGTCAGTGGTCTGTGCCTGAGCTTATTGATTGGCGTTATATTAGGACTGCTGCTAACTGACCTACCCACTTCCCAAAATGAAACGGTTACTCATTGTGTTTCTCTCTTTTTGTACCACAGTTTTGTTTCACCGTAATTCGTCAATAACAAAGTAGCGTTTCTCTTAGAACCCATTTGGTCACATAGGTTGAAGATTTACCGCATTTTACATGTATTCTTCTAGAAAACACCTATTGCTATGCTCTTGAAGTAAAGGAGTGTCTACTTGATACAGGCAGACGATTTCCAGTCCGGGAGCGTCTCCCAGTACTCCCAGCTACGATCCAGTGTCGGATACTACGAAATATTGCCCTCCGTAGCAAGTGGACAGATTTCGTCCGACTTCGACCGGGCTTTGAATGCAAGACGCGCGGCATTGCATAACTGCGTACTTTCTTCCTGTGCTAATTAGATTGCGGATCATCTGCGCTACGTGGTCAAATTACGTACAAAATGAGTGTAACATTTTTAGAACAGTCGCCTTTTAAGGATGGGTGTTTAATTCAACTTTTACTTTGAGATCAATGGTAAAAACAGCGATTTCATACGTTCATTGAAACGAAAGCCACTTTTGTATGAAACAGTCGCTTATTAGCGTCACCATGGATCCTAATAATCCCTTTCTGATAATTTGATATTATGTAATTTGACTGTTTTAAAAATAGCCCTATATAAAGTGACTCAATCATACATTGTGTGCATGGGCACGTAACGAAGCGTACTCTTTCTAAAAATTTGGTTGCTGAAGGTCAACTGTGGCGTTTGGTTTCCTCTAGGATCGTATGGCAGATGCTGAGGCCAGCCATCAGCGTCAAGTTCGGAAGGAAGATGATGTACGTCAACTACCTCCACGAGCTCCAGCAGTACCTGGATCTGGAGAAACTGTGCATCCCGCATCCTGTGCTTGAGTAAGTCGACCTTTTATACCTTTAACGTGATCGTGATTTTTTACGAATTTTGAAACTTTTGATAAGTGCATAAGATTTAAATCGTGGTGATAATAAAATAATAGTAATATTTATAGTCTCTCAGAGTTCTCTATATGTCACCGTAAAATTGTGAATTCCGTCAGATTATAATCTGACGTAGTTAAATTACAATCTAACCTAACCTAACCCACTGTTAGTTTACAATCTAACGCGTTATATTATAAACTGACAGAGTTCACAATTTCACGTTGACATATAGACAACACTAGAATGGTTTACTAAGAGTAGGTACATTTGCAACTTTAGTGTAAACATAGAAAATGGAAACTTCCACTTGGCTACTTGAAAATCGATACAATCACACGGGAGCCTTTTCCCGCAAGGAAAAGCTACGTTCATAATCTTCGTCAGCCGCCAACAAGATACCTAATTTATGATAGTTTATTTCCCATTTCAAATTTATATTCATGTTTATTTCTATAATCGAAATTGAAACGTAATAAAATCTTCTATTTTTTCTTTAATTGATTTAATTTTTATTAAAAAAATATTAGAAAAAATCGAACTGCCTAAGGATTCGAGTTCGATTTTTTCAAGTTGTTTATTTAAAACATTTAATTTTTATTTATTTACCTAGATAAAAATAATTGATTGAAATATGTAGAATTTTCTAAATTAAATATATTGGTTTTACGAATCAAAGTTAACCCAATCAAGGGCATATGAGTGTTTACTTCGATTATAATGAGAACAATTCGAAGCACTGATATGGCCTCGCCTTTAGAATTCTAGTTGAATTAATTTTACAAATGGGATACACATTATTCATCTGACGGCGAAATTTTGGTACACTTATGAAACGTTTGATATCCATAATTCTATCTCGGGACTTTAATAAAATGTATTTTATTCATTTTCAAAAGCGAGGCGTCTTTTATGTGGATGCATTAAAATGGAAAAATACCCAACTATCATTTTATAAGGTGTTTACGCCTCCTCATAAGCTGCGTCAAAGAAGCCGTGATTCGTGGGATTGAAATAGGTAATACATAATATATATCCCGCATTCTAGAAAGGTGTACAGTCAAAATATTTCATAGCTGTTGTAACTTCAGCGACTGAAGGTTCGTCCCATGTTGCTCCTACATTTTTTCAAAGTTGTCAAAATAAAGTGCCGGTTCCGTGTTTTAGTGTTATGCTCTCTCTTAAAACTTGTTTACTTTTATTTTCACACGTTTTTGTCGCTTTTTCGGGATTTTTGAGTAGATTTTTTTTTCGATAAGGGACTTAGAAATTTTTTGCCGGTACGTCTTTGAACTTGCGCTCGGAAGGAGGCGCGGTATATAGACCGTTATATATCAAGTTGTAGGATGTGAGAGTGCTTGTACAGCCAGCCTAAATGAAACAAATCTTCTGTTTTGACCGCGGTAGTTTCAGTTTAACTTCGACTTGTAATTACGTTTGAACGAAAACGGTCGTGCGAGCTTTCCCGTACGGCGCATCCCCTTCTCGCGGCGGGACCTTGCCGGCCCTGTATCCGGAACCGGAAGTGGATTTTAAAAGCTTGCTAATTTCTTCAGATACGATAGACTGCTGCTTTCGAAGAACCCAAGAGCGTCAGAAGCTGCTAAGATGCTGCGCGAACGGATGAAGAAGCTTGCGGACCAGTTTGGCTCCAAGTCGACGCCGAAGGAAAGCCTGTCGCCGCCTAGCACCCAGCAGTTCGGCGTGTCTTTGCAGTTCATCAAGGAGAACAACACTAACATGGTGGATGCTATTCCTCCAGTGGTACGACAGTGCGTCGAGTTCTTGTCTCAGCCGGACGGTAAGTAGATAAGATGTTTATGGTGAAAATATTTGATTTCCACGAATTCGTGCGTGGACCCCGTTTTGCCCCCTTAGAGGTGGATTTTCGTAAAATCCGTCCTTAATGAATGTATTCATTTACTCTATAAGGAATCTGCCTGCCAAATTTCGAGTTTATAGGTGTATTTAGACTTAGACTTAAACTAATTAATTGCCATTTTGGTTAAAAAATAATTATTATTTATTATTATTATTTCAAATTCTTTATTGCTCTTTAATACACGCACACTATAATTAATATAATATGATTAACTAGGTATTTTGAACTAAATATTTTTCTTTCTTTCTTCTTTCCTTTCTCAAATGATAATGATTATAATAAGAAGTTAGGCTTAACCGATTCTGAGTAATAGATTTTACTCTAAATATGTAATGTGCGGTGCGACGAATAAATAGAGTGCAGATATTATGTTCATTAAATCTTACGGGCATTTATGTTTAAAATGCCAATTGAAACAAGTACTATTCTCCGAGCGTCAAACTTTTTGTACATACTAAGCCCCTTCGTGTTTAATTTAGTTGGTATATTTTAGGTTTTCGGGCAATATTATCATGTTGTAACTAGAGCGGTTTGTAATTAAGATTATTACGGAATAGTATAGCTGGAAATAGATTGATAATGAGTTTATTTAATGTTTTCCACATTTGACAATTCTTTCCTATTACACAAGGGCATGACACACAATCGTTGCAAGCTTTTATTTATATTGACGGCCGTTTGATGTAGTGGTTCGCGTACCGGACTACTATGTCTAAAGTCCCGGGTTTGATCACCGCACAATGCAAACATTTGTGTGCATGAACATATCTGTTTGCATTGGGTGTTTTCTATGTATGTATTATAAAATCATCAAAAATATACTTTATTTGTTTAGACTAGTTCAATTAAATTAGTTCTTTCAAATCGTCAAATGCCTTACCTATTATAATTTTTTGCCTGCCAAAAAATTCTATAAGAATGTCTTATTTGTTGTCTGATACTCATAGTACAAGATTTGCTTTTGCTTTATAGCGCAGTGTTCAAGAATACATAACTAAGATAGGAAAATTATACTGCAATTAATATTTCACAATAGCTATTGATACAATGAAATCTTTTGTCATGAAGATGCGTTCTAATCTAAATATTAAAAACACCCCTTCCTGGAATGGTAAAGTAGTTCAATTCAATTTAATTTAGAAAAACCATCTTTTTCTAATCGACGTGGGCTTGAGTGGGTCGAGAAACACTTCAAAATGATATGCAACTTTCATGAAACGATAACAAAGAATAACTAAAATATTATTAGTCTAGAATTGTTGTGGTGCAATTCTATTATCAAATTTTTCCGAACTTGATGACTAAATATAATATCTAATCAAGGCAAAGCAAATGCATTGCATTTGCATGCTACGATCCTTTGTTTTGCTAATCAACTTATCAGGATTTGTAAGTGTACCTGTGTGTAAATAGTTTATTACATGAAGGGATGCCATTGACATAATTATGACATATCATACACATGACAGAGCATACAAATCTGAGGCACATTTGTTGAAGTCTCGCTGGCGTTTGACCTCCCATGCCGTCCACATACCTTGGGCACCGACTTATTTGAGACATAAGCGCTAGCGCTTAGGTCTAGACCTATAGCTAGTTTAGTTTAGTATATAATTAGTTTATTGCTTTTACTATACACTACAAACATACTCTTTGTTGCACATTACACATAACTTGGCAATCATAAGAATACAAAAGTTGTAAAGGTACAACATGGGCGATCCTAACATATGAGATTTTTTTTAGACGATCTAAAGATATAATAGTAATGTTTTTTATTTTATTTATTGAATGAACCTCAAACAAGTTTACAATAAACTTAAACTAAAACTTATATGAAAAAAGAAACTTAACAATTTTAAACTCAACAAATTGTGTTGGTATTAATAAATTAATGAACTAGCTGGTTATAAATTCAAGTTGGTGAATAATAGATTGCTAAATTTGATTTGTGACATCTCACATAGTTTTCCCGACATTAGGGTTATATTTCTGCGAAATTTAAATCGGAAACAATATTGGTCCTATGGTTTCTCTAATACGAACAAGATTTCAGATCAACAGTGTTCATTATATCGACATGTACCGACAATATATTATGGCGCAATAAATTAGCGATTGGTTTTAAGCCTTTTGGTGTGGGTAGTATGAATCATCTTAAATTTGTTAATAATGTTTTTCCCTCTTCTGCCCTTTTGATAATCCTTCTTAAGTTCTTTATTTTAGGAAAATGAATCATAATCTTCTCAAGGCGTTATAAGACTGGTTATTACAAGATAAGTTCTGATACAATGGAATGTTTTGGGGTGGGACCAAAGGGATATTTTTAGTGGGGGCCCGCGACACTCGCCCTGCCGCAGGGGGGTGGGGGAGGAGGAGGAGGGTGGGGGGGGGGGGGGGGGGGGTGGACAATGGACAATTCTGAGGTGGGCACGGACTACCCGGCCCCCCACTATATACATGCATGGTGGAAAATGTACTAGATATTTACAGATCCGAAATCTTTATGGATTCACTGGCTTGGAATATGTTAGAAAACTTTAAGATTTGATTTGAGTGTGGGGATAAGCACTTAAAACTAATGTCGACATTTTTCAACGATAACATAGCACAATCTAGTAGTTTTCTGTCAGTTTACAACTCTATTGGTTGTCGACATCAACAGTTATTCTTGTTGATGACTAAAGATAAGATCTCTCTATGTCACCTTATGTAGTTTGTCATAGGTGATGCTTTGCAATAAAAATGTATACTTCGACTATGATGTCGACCGCATATTAACTGGTAAACTTCCTCATCTTAATTAACCGTTCTTGTTTGATTCCAGCGCTGGAGACCGAGGGTATATTCCGCCGTTCAGCCAACATATCAGTGATAAAGGAGCTGCAGAGGTCTTGCAACCGCGGCGAGCCGATATCATTCCGGAACGACCCTCATAACGCTGCTGTGCTGCTCAAGACATTCCTCAGGGATCTGGAGGAGCCACTCATGACGTTTGACCTGTACGACGAGATTCTCAAGTTTCAGAGTGAGTCATTACTAAATTACGATTAAAGGCCAGACAATAACGTGCATCGATAATGCCTCGATAAGATGATATGATAGCGCGCATTCTAGTTAGACGTGTAACATTACTAGTATTTAAGAAAAATTAAACTATCTGAATAAAGTATAAAATGGAATGGAATGGTGTGTTGATCTGTACTTTGTCTTTTTGAGAATCTGTCCTTATGCGAATCTGTCGTATTGAGAATCTGTCCTTATGCGAACAAAGGGTAATGATGATGAGTTAAGAACTTAAGATAAAGATAATATGATCAAAATGTAATAACGAAATAGCCCCTTCATTTATTATTTATCCATTATTCTTCGAAATTTGACTTGACTTGATAAGACGTCACTTCATAATTTCCATGCAACGTAATTGTGACAGCTTATCAAAGGATTTCAGTTGATTGCTGCGAAGCATTCCATGGTGCATCCATAATTAATGATAGCTGTTACTCATTAAAATAACTTAACCCTTAAGGTTAAAGTTACTCATTCAACTTTTAAACCTTGCCTTCTGGCTTTTGAGTTGTAACAGCTGATGATTGTTTTTTCTAACAGTCATTTTCATTACAGCCTGGTCTCTCCGGGACAAGCCCCGTCGGGTGAAGATACTAATTCTGGAGCGCTTGCCCCTGGATAACTACAAACTTCTGAAGTTCATCATACAATTTCTGTGGAAGGTAATATATTTTAAAAAAAACAGCTTTTTTACCCCGCAGGCTGCAGACTTTTAGTCGGCTGATAGACTGATCAACAGCCCGACCCAACTATAGGCCAACTAAAAGTCGGTGGTCTACGCCTAGACTTGCCGTTTTTTCGGCTTTGACACAAGAATGATTTTCGTAATGGCTAAGCCAATCACTTTATAAATATCAGCAAATTGAGGAATTCCTTAATATATTTTAACAACTACCTACACTAGTTTTGTTTCGATAACTACCATACTGTATATTAAATTTCGTATCATAACATGTGTGTTATGATACGAAGCATAAGTTAAAGCCTGACCAGGAACATAAAAACCCTGGCATAGAGGCGCGTCAATTGCATTTGATAGTGCAACACTGAGTACAGTCGTACCTGTGTTAAATTAATAGGCTAACTTTATGTATCAGGATTCAGGATTACGGGCTAATTTGATATTTTCATAAATTAACGAAAAAAGATTATATTATTGGTAACCTGGTTTAAATAAATTAAATGAAACAATCCATCGAGCTAGTAGGATTTATTTTATTATTCATCAATAATCCAATTCAGAACTTGAATATTCAACTACAATGTCTCCTCATGAACGCTTCAAACTCGGTACTTTTTTCCAATTCCATAAAATTCAACACTTACAAAGTGACAAAAAGCTTTAAAATAGGTAGGGTGATTGCTACAGTTATTGGCCCTTTAAGAGCGTTGTGTAAGTTAACTTGTGTAAAATGTAACAAAAACTCGACTTTTCTTTACTTTTTATATTTTATTATGAGAAAAAAATATTGCTGCTATTTAAGCTAGTACCTATTTGGTGTTATACGATAAGAATTACAATAATAATTTTAAAAATATCAGAGATCACATTAAATTTAGCTATTAGCCCCAAAAACACAGTAATTGGCTCCTAGAAGTACAGTTATTAGCCACCGAAAAAAACCCATAAAAATCACTGAAACTTCACGCTTTGTAATCCTAACTCATTTTGTCTTTCCTTAAGATTAGCTAAGAATTCGTCATCAGTATCACTCTTATCGATTTCTTCATCTATCTCATCATCGTCAGTACATTCAGTAACATTGTAACAATTGTGACAAAGATAACTGTCTCCTTCTTCTTTTATTTTTTTAACTGATTAAGTGTTTCTGTTCCAACTACTTATACCAACCTTAGTATACTGTGTTACCTACGGCATCTTGTAACAATCTAGGTAAAGTAAATCAATAAAAATAGTTATTGGCCGTGCATAAGTGTCAGTAATTGGCCCCCCGGCTAATTACTGATCCTAATAGGTTAGGACGTTAGTATTTTAATAGCAAATATTTAAGGGTTAAATTAACTTAATCTTGAATAAAAATACAATAAAAGTAAAATTTAATTATTGGCCACCCATGGCCAATAACTGAAATAAATAGAAAACGTGGTATAGTTATTGGCCGGTATAATTTTAAAGTTATTTTGTTCCAAAACAAAGTAACTTAATCTATCTACATAAGCTACCATTTATCTCTTTACAAAAAAACAGTAAAATTACTATAACAAGCAAAAACAATTAAATTACGAACAATATTCATAATTATATTTACCTTAAAATTTTGACAAGCATGCGGCTACTCGGACGACTCGTTGTCGAAAGAAAGCTTCTGCTGTTTAGAGTGCCATCTGTTCTTACTCTGACATACTACATTGGACAGCGTATTGCTCAGAGAAAGTATTTGTGTCCCTTTTCCACTCTTAATAACGTACATATGCTTGTTTATTTTTATTTTAGCCAAGGTGGCCAATAACTATGTACAGGCCAATTACTATAGCAATCACCCTAGTTGAAACAAACAACAGCTAATTTTCATAGTGGACTGTACTATAAGATAAACATGTCAGTCAATTTGACAACCTTTGTCGGAAACATTATTCAATGAAAATATTATCCTAACCCTTAGTTTTTCTCTTCGACAAATACTGTAACACATTGTGAACCACTTTTCTTTCACGACTATAAAAAATTTTAGCAATTTAATTCACAAAATCAATTGCGCACATTTAAAATAAAGTTTGTTTACACGTTGACAGCAATAGACTGACATGCAAGGTGACATGTCAATGAAGTTTTCAGTTACTGTTGCCATTAAAAGAAATTAGTACCATTAGTTTTCCGCAACATGGCGAGGGTTTTTATGTTCCTGGTCGGGCTATACGATACATAAGCATACACAATATGGCCGACAGTCATTAATAATAATTATGATTATTATTTCTTAGGCTTTTTTTTTACTCGAAGTCCATAAGTTCTTCGGTATAACGTTAACTCACGGGCTCATGCCAAGTGAGTTACGTGTTCAGAGTTGATTGCGGAGTTGGAGTCGTCCTGCATGATATTATTGATTATTATTATTATTATCTTCGGTTTACACTTTTGTGTCTCAGCTCATGGCTGGTATGACGTCACTCTCCTGCTGTATGAGATGTTCCTGGAGATATGCCTAGAACTTAGTGTTGTATTTTTATTTATTCTTTATTTAGGAAATAAATAATTACGAAATAACAGCTGCTCCGTGAAGAGTTTTAAGAAAAAATAATAATATTTCAGGTGCGATTGGCTAAATGCTAGCCTGAAATAAATGTATTGAGATGTGTTATTCACGCAGGTGCAAGACAGGAGCTGCCTGAACAAGATGACCAGCAGCAACTTGGCCGTCGTGTTCGGGCCCAACTTGGCTTGGCCACCCAACGGACAGATGTCGCTGCAGGCCATCGCACCCATCAACGCGTTCACAGACTTCCTTCTGGAGAACCAAGAATCAATATTCATCATCTAAATTGATTCATCCGCCTCTCAATCATTCCGTAACCACATGAAATCTCAATGGATTTTCTTTTTAAGAACATTTTATTATATTTCTTTTTTTAAACTTTACTCACTCGTATCAATGTTGAACGAATGAATTTAATTTTACCTGCCACTATGATTCTCGCCGATGAATTTTACAATATTATTCATTGTTAATCAACGGCTATTCTGAAATTTTACAACGAATATTTTAAAATTATGTGGCTAGTTCTACAAATCAAGGAATTTTACCGTGCTTTGATCGATGATTTTGATTTCCAACGAATAACATGTTTATGTTTATGCATTTCTTTTCCGTGTCAAACATCATCTTAAATAATTATTATCGCTTACATTCAGCCTACTGCCGTCCATTGAATAAATCACAAGTCACAATCAAGGAAATCGTAGTTAACACAATATATTTCAGAACCAAATCAACCAAGCAATTACGTTATCTAAAGTCATTTTCAAACCGTGCTGAAGTAATAGAAAACTAAATGCTACCGCGAAGTAAATTTTCTTATGATTACTGTAACAGTCCACTGTCCAATATATTATTTTGATAACAGAACTAGCCTTTTGCTTAGATTAATAAAATCTAAGGCCTTTTGTAAGATCGTATTCGGCACACTATACGACTACTCGTTATATTTGTATAAGACTACGTAGGTGTATAATAAACTTTTTGTACTTTCATATCATCGACGTAATAATACATATGGAAGACCTATTGCAGATATTAAAGAAATATACAATAAAGATCAAACATTGATTAAATAGTACCATGATTCCTTATTATTCCCATTGTTACATAGAATTCCCATTGTATGTTAATTATTTATTGTTAAAACATCATTCCATGCAACAATATGTAATTTAATTTACTCCATTTTCCAATATTAAAATATCTGTTGTGACAGTAGACATACTTATTTCAATGTTACATACGATAAGAATCAGTAGTATGTCTGTATCTATTTTTATTTCGATTAGTAATTATATAAAAGTTGAATCTTAAAATAAACATGTAATAGAACGTTGAGATTCTTTGAGTTAGTGTTTTCAACACTTGGGTTCTTATTATGAATCGAAATCTAAATCTTGATTCGTATTTATTTAAATATCGTTCATAATACGAACCTTAAATACTTTATAATCATAAATGTTACTTTGTATGATTGGGTATTTTATTAGGGATAGTAGAGATTTATACCAAAAATAACAAACATAGGGTATATAGAATAGTAATGTTTAATTTTTAGTTTAATGATTATTTTATTCTTTTTACAATATTGTAGTTAAAGCCATATTTCAAATGCATTCAAATGTTTGTCACGCGATAATTTGGCTTATTCCCGCTCTCCTATCATAAATTGACTGCTATCATTCCGTGTTTTTGTGAATTTTCTTGATACTGATGCAAAATTTGAAGGATCTTCATCTTTGGAAAAAATGCTGAAATTACCTTGTAATGGGATTATTGGGAATAACCGTTTTCGCAAGATGAATACAAGATTATACCCGCCGATAGCGTTATTGGTCCTTTATGCAGATGACAAAAGGTCGGTTACTCGTTCCCCTTCTGACCCATTCAATAGCATGTGCGGCAGTCAAGTATAGGGCCGTAAAGGTGCGGTGATACAGTGTCTGTCTATACACTTATTTATTATACACCTTAAATACCGTTACAAATGACGATATTTATTAACTTCTTCCCAGCCTTGATTTAACTGTCAAGGACAAAAACTGTTATTAATCCTGTTTCTCAAGAATCGAGTTGTTTTAGAGATTTCTCTTATGGATGGACTACTAACTTGAAATCTGCTAGTTAATTTAATGTCACCAAGTTGTTGGTTTGTAATGGTTTGAAATATTTTCGTCTTCCTTCTCTTGACCTTAACAAAATTATTCAATGTTTATAGGTAATTATTCTTTATACTACATATTGTGTACTTTATCTAGGAATAGAACATTAAGGTCCCTCATTATTTGGATATCTAATTGTTTTTGTATAAAATGAGAGCATGCATGGGATTTTCAATAAGTTAACTAAATTTGTACGAAATGAGAGTGCCATTTATTCATTCTGATACTTCCAAGGTCACAATAATAATAAATAATTGTAATAAAACAATAATTTTATAGTTTAGGTATAAATCACATATTGTAAGATGTTTTAATAATTGTCTATATTAATCGAATTAGTTTAAGCACTCGGTAAATGGAAGCACAATGGTTTGAACGAACATGCAATAATTGTATTATACTTGTAAAAGCATTCATCAGTGACCATTGGGGCGCACGACGCTGCTATTCCGTTTATACACTACTTATTGTATTGACTCTTTATGGTACGTAATTGTACCCTAATTATAATCCAAATTATTAATAAATATTTCACGATTTAAACAGACGTGGTCAGCGTTAGCTAATCCTTAGTTAAATAAAATTATTATCACAGTGAAGAGTTCGGCTATTAAACTTAAAACAAATCTATCGCATACATACATGAGGCGTCTAGTTTCAAATCCCGCTAAAACGATTTTGATAAGATTTCGAGAAATTGAAAAAAACCGCTTATCCATATAGCTTTGGCCTTAGGCAAAAAAATATATGATACGAATTATTATTGTCATCTTGCAAAACTAACAGTAATTCCTATTCACCTTTAAATTAAATATAATTTGAATTATAATGAAAACTATTTTCATTTTGGCGTACTTTGTTACGAACATTCCGTTTTAATGGGATTTGAAACGGACATGTTGTATTTTAGCGGGATTTGATAAGAACAAATTTTAATGCATGAATGGCGTTCTACAATAAAGTCTAATATTAAATAACCCAAAAAATGATAAAATAAATAATTGTCCGTATAATTTGTCCATTCTATAATATTCAAAGCTATTGCACTTATTGGTTAGGTTATTAGATTAATCAAGTTTTATCGGGTTATTAAAAAAAAACAATTAAATTACAGCATGTAAATAAGAAACTTTTATAAATTATTTTCTCAATCTCGTCTTTGCCTTTTTATAACATAATATTTATTCCTAGACATCTGGACATCAGGTGATCCATCTGCTCGTTTGCCTCCTGTCACATAAAAAAAAACATCCCACGATATTTATTTATTTACTTCACTGACTGACTGTACAGGGATATAAACATACACATTACACACATACATACCTACCTACTCTCGAAACACATTACCCTCCTGCACTCGGGTAAAAAGTAACATACCTTTATAATTAAATTCGTCTAAAGGCATTGAGCTAGTGAAGTTTCTATAATCCCAGTAGTGATCACCAACACTTAATAGTAACAATAACCAACGACAGCTAAATGGTTAATTTTGCATAACACCATCAAAGCTGTTTCAAAAGTAGTTTTTTAACAAATTTCTCTTTCCGTTTCTGGCGATCCTTGGTGCGTTTCCAGGCTATTTCATTACATGGTTTCTTTCTTGCGTCTTTAGGGTTACATTTTTCCACGAACTGAGACAAATCTTCCATTATTTTGGATCAAAAACAATAAAAAACCGCAGCAACCTTAAGCATGTTATGAAAAAATCTCCATACTGATTTCGCAGTCACGTGACCAAAATACCGTGCTGCCATTGGTCAATCAACTTTTAGAGGGTTTTGAAAGAAACGGACGGCGTTTTAGCGGAGTTTGTAACACAAACCAAATTTTAAGTGCTAGTTTAGTAGTCTTTTAGTGAATTTTGATCGAAAATGATTGAACAGTATGATGAGAAAATTGCAGTAACGTCATTTAGAGATATAAACAGAAATTCGTTGCAGGAGCGTTTTAGCGGGTTTTGAAACTAGACGACTCACATATTACAAAAAATATCGTTGTTCTTATAGGACTTATGTTCATTGTTATTACAGTATTTACAGATAATGTTTTAGTACTAGTTTATAAAGGATTTTGTCAATTGTGGCCATTAGCCGACCGTTAATCTCAGCAATCGGCTTAAAACCAAAATCTGTTTTCTTAAATCTTGTTGCATCCGAATTTTGTGGGGAAAGTTTACGTATGTTGCGTTAGTACAAAATATTCTTTCAAACACAGTTCAAAATAGTAAATAAGTTTCATAATGCACTTTATTATCTACGAATTTGTTTTTTCAATCATTCCAGAATGATGTATTATTTTATATCTATCATAAGTTTAACCTGAAGAATTTCTTATTTTCCGCCACTGAGGACTGTATATTACTAACATTTTAATCTATGGTTGCCGTTTTACCAGATCACGTACTACCTTACATATATTATAATGAAACTAACCAAAACACGGCTACTATGACAAGCTCACTAAGTTTTATTTCTTCACTTTACTTGTGCGTGATGTTATTTGGTGTAAACAAAAGATCTGGTAACAATGAAGAATAATATTATGTTTTATGTTTAAAAAGTATATTATTATGTAAGTTTAATATATTATTATAAAGAAATCTTAGGTCAGTTCAGTTATTATTGATGAAAGCTTTATAAAAGCGTTTCAGAAATTATAAGTGTTTTTTGTATTTTTAGATTATAATAATTAAATTGTTTAAATCTTTCATATACGATCTGTTAACTGAAATGTAATAATATCAATAAAACCTGATTCAAAGAATTCGTTGCTTTTTATTAGGTACTTAGGTACAGTCAGCGTGAAATAGTTCGTGACACCGAAAGTAGTCAAAAACTTCGCAACACTTACTTATTCTGTGTCAACACGTCTTTGTTACATTAAAGTTGTGTTTTAAGGTGTGTTGAGATAAGTTCGGACGTTTTTTACTAATGTTGACACGTTCGTTTCAGCCAAATGACGTCCACTGCTGGACAAACGCCTCCCCCAAGGTTTTCCATAATGAATAGTCCTGTCCTGCGCTGCCCGCATCCAGGCTCTTCCCGCGACCTTTACCAGATCGTCGGTCCACCTAGTAGGAGGCCTGCCCACGCTACGTCTTCCAGCCCGTGGTCGCCACTCGAGAACTTTCCTGCCCCAACGGCCATCGTCTCTACAAGCTATGTTGTGCCCCGCCCACTGCCACTTGATTTTAGCAATCTGCGAGCTACATATTATGTTAGGTACAAAGGAGTTTAAAACCATGTTTTTCAAACTTTGATTTAAAATCAAAAGTAAATAAGACTTCTTGGGAATAAACAATCAGTATGGGCATGTATGGAAGTGCGAACATTACGCCGATTCGATTTGGCCGATTCTTAATACAAATTAAAATCGGGCCCAACTATCGGCCAACTAAAAATCGGTGGTCTGCGCATAGTCTTACTGAGATTAAGAGCGTT